TAAGTAGTCTACATAATGACATTTTTACATGACAAAATATAAACACTGTAATGTGACTGTAAAAAAAATATATTATGTAAGTAGTCTACATAATAGGTATTTTACACGACAAAATATAAACATGTAAAAAAAGATATTATGTAAGTAGTCTACATAATAGGTATTTTACACGACAAAATATAAACACTGTAAAAAATATATTATGTAAGTAGTCTACATAATGACATTTTTACACGACAAAATATAAACACTGTGATGTGAGTGTAAAAAAAAATACATTATGTAAGTAGTCTACATAATGACTTTTTTACACGACAAAATATAAACAGTGTAATGTGAGTGTAAAAAAAATATTATGTAAGTAGTCTACATAATGACATTTCTTGATGCCCTTTAATTTTTCTTACCCTCTGGTATTCCCTGTTAATAGTCTCCATATCATCTTGTCTATCCTCATCCAACGCTATTTCCTGTAGAATATGGAAAGTGTAATTATTTCCAACATAAGAACAATGTTGACTTTTACTTTAGGCTAGCAATAGATGGTAGCTCTGATGTAAGAGTGAATGCGCTTCATGGCTAACATCAGTTTTAGCTTCTGACAGGTTAAAAAAACAAAGATGTTGCTGCTATATTTATTACACAATCTATTATGCTGTATGAACACCACAGTAAGAGATATTATTAAACAAACTGTTTTAATCATCATGAAACCATTCAGTGATTTTAATGAACCTTTTCTAGGTTTACTTCAAAGTATATCTCTTCTATATATAAAAATTCGACATAAATCAGTTCAATAAAAATTAGATTTTACAACCCGAACCCTTGACTGGCGTAGTGTAGTAACAGTGTAAATATTCCATCACACTCAGTCTATCAACCTTAACAGCCAGAGAAAATTAACTTTACAACATATAAAAAGTTAAACAGTTTCATTAAAACCCACTGGTTATAAGCCTGTCCTACATTTCAACACAGTGTAGGATTTTCTTCGGTTATGATTGAAACGTATGGAATGTTTTCAACCATTGGTTGTAACGAAATTGTTTTACTCTTTTGTAGGATAATCAGGAATATGTTTGTTATAATACTAAATATAATTTCATGTCGTAGTTCTTTTACAGTTCTTCTTAATAAGAATGAACACTAAATATATTTTTAACATTATAAATAAACTGTCTCGCCTTTAAATATCACTAATCTATACACAACTTACTCTTTGCTTAGTGAATCTTGTTAATTCGGAGAAGGAAAATATTTTTTCATATAGCTAAAAACATCAATTATTGATGAAAATAAAGTTTCGGGAGAAGAAAGCTTCAAAATTTCATTAAAATTAAGCCCAATACTACCCTTTACACTATCGCTTCCGTCTTAAGAGAGTTTCTGGTTGTTTATTATCAGGCAATTTTACTCGAACCCTGGAGGTGCTCCGTTAAAGTGTCATGCAGAGTCTTTGAATCACAGGTGTCGATATCATGAATTCGCAAATTCCCTTGCGGTCTTTTCTGAAATTAACTGATAAGCCTGTCAGGCTGTGGCGTCAGCCAAAGCAGTTTCTTTTGTGCAGATAAATTTAGAGTATGACGTCATCACCTGGAGTATCTAACTCAATAGGTAAGGTAAGCAAAAAACTAAGTTAAGTAAGAGAACGTGTTTTTCACGCAACAATAGGGAACTGCTAGCATGCAGGGTTAAGAAATCAAATCCGTCTTCTTTTATTAGTGTGCTTTTCTTGTTCTTCCGCCTGTTATTTGGCTATTGTTTAGTTTCCAATCTCGTTTATTTTGCTTCCATTAATCTTAATTTTTGTGAAACAGATCTATAAGCTTCGGTTGTTTACTTTACTTTGAAAGAAAAATCTGTTTGGCTTTTTCAAAACTATTTAGTTGTTATATACGAATTATATTATAAACAAATTGAAAATACTAAACTTAATGTATTTGTACGAATAATCCATATACTGTTATTCATTTTACAAATATTACTAAGTCGTGCGCCAAAAGCACTGTTGGATAGGCATTTAAAAATAATAATAAAAATGACATTAAAGAGGAAGAAGAAATAATAAACCTACAACTCTAGAAATATAAACCAGCTGACATTAAGTAAAAGTATGATTATTATATAATTATAGTGCCTGGTAAAATAAACGAAACTGTTACAAATCTGAAAGAGTTCTGTTGCTAAGTAAGTCAGTTGCTAAAAAAAGAAACATGAAATATTCAGCGATGAGGTTAACTTCCGAAAATTACTTCGGTTATGACGTTGATTTATGTTTCAGGGAAATAAATACACTAAAACAAACATTAAATAGCCAGACATATTTCATAAGGCTACTGAATATTGTCTGCCTAATAAATGCTTCTAAATGTGTTAGTTGCTGTGATTGCACCATATTTGATGACATTTGAAACCGGTTTCTTAACACTTGCGGATTGAAAAAGATAGTTATAATGAAACACAATTCTTTAATGCTTTGAGTATGACGGCGTCATCATCTGTATTATTTAACTCAAGGTTAGTGAGGACTAGACAAAGGTCTTAAACAAGAGGATATGTTTTATGGTGAACGAGGTGAATTGTCATAAGCACACAGGCTAAAACGTCAAATATTGTTTTTATGTGAACTGTCATAAGCACACAGGCTAAAACGTCAAATATTTTTATGTGAACTGCCATAAGCACACAGGCTAAAACGTCAAATATTGTTTTTATGTGAACTGTCATAAGCACACAGGCTAAAACGTCAAATCTTTTTGTTATGTGAACTGTCATAAGCATACAGGCTAAAACGTCAAATATTTTTGTTATGTGAACTGTCATAAGCACACAGGCTAAAACTTAAACTGTTTTTTATTAGAGTGTCTTTGTTAAGTTTACAATCTCATTTACTATGATAATTTGTTACAGAAGGCTTATCATTATCGTTTTACCGCTACTGTTTGGTAAGACGCAATACTATAATATGGTCACCGTTGCTCGAAAACAAGTGACTACAATAATATACTGCTATTGTTGTTTAATAAGACACATTAATTTAATGCTACAATTGTTCTTTAACCAGATACAATAATTAATTATACTTGTATTAAGAACATTATATGTTACGCCTATTATTGTCTCATGACAAGTATAATTAATTATAATAATGCTTCGCCAGCTTGTAAAAGGCGTTCACACCGTAACAAGATACAATAATGAAATGTCGTATTTCTTGTTTGATAGAATATGATAATGCCATTGTTGTTTGATATGACATAAAGTTATATAGCTGCCGTTGTAAGGTATGACGTAAGTTTAGAATACTAGTATTAGCATTTAATTAAAATTTTGCGATGTTTTCATTGTTGTCTAGACTGTCAAGACTGTATAATTGCTGTCGGTGGACTCCATCGTATTTTAAAATACGTTTTCTAAACTATTTATGTAACTAAATACTTGAGAGCGCATGACTTTATTGGTTACAGAATACCTAATAACATATGTGCCGAACAAAAAAACGTAAATAAATATACCATTTTCACGAATTCCGGTTTGGATGTATTTCATTCAGAAAATAAGTCATTTGACCCAATTTTTCTTAGTAATTTCCTTACAATGAATGTTGTGACTGGTACGTAAACCAGTCGGTAATTTGAGGGATAAAAGATACATTATTGCAACACTGCTTTTGTTGCCTAGTTAGGCACAATACTACGATATAATACGTTTTTTACACATTCTTCTGCAACTTTCGGTTTGTTTGTTGTTTAGAATTTCACGCAAAGCTACACGAGAGCTATCTGCGGTAGCCGTCCCTAATTTAGCAGTGAAAGACTAGAGGGAAGGCAGTTAGTTATCACCATCTACCGCCAACTCTTGGGCTACTTTTTTAGTAACAAATAGTGGAACTAATCGCCCCCCATGGCTGAAAGGACGAGCATGTTTGATGGGACGGGGATTCGAGCCTGTGACCCGTAAATTGCGAGACGAGCTCCCTAACCACCGCAGCTTTCGGTGTTCAAACAGCAACGTTTAAAGGATTATATTATATATAGATGCATGAATAGTGATTCAAAAAAGCTGTTCTGTCATCTTCCATCTAAGGTCTCTTGGATATGTGACTTATGGGAGACAAAAGATAGATGTGAAATACTATTTTTACACGACTCTGATTTTGATTCCGAGATAGACTAATTAAGAGGATTGCGTGTAAAGTGGGGTGAGGGACATCTATAGTTTGAGTATCATCACAAATATTAGGTCTATTGGTTGCTTATGTTTGGCCAGTTTTCGGCACTTAAACTGTAACATAATGTAATGGTTAGACAACAAAAACAATGCAAATTTGTATTACAAAACTAACTATATAAATAACTGAAATATTTGATTTGTCTAAAATATATATATCATTATATAAGACTAGATGTACTTGCGCAGAGTCTCCAAAAGTGTTCTGTTTCAAGAGTAAATAAAATCAAAATAAAGAGTAACAAATATTTTTATTTATTTCATTTGAAGTTCATATGTCACGCTGTGTTGTAGCCTACAGAGTGCAAAATTCTTCTCGTGATTCATAGCATGCGCACGTTTTACTGACGTCAAAACAGTACAAATTGCAACGTTAAGCGTCCCTTATGTGGTGTCAATTTAGTGTCTACCGACTGACTGAATGACAGACAACACACTATTGTATAGAGGTGCGAGTGGTTAAATAGGTAACCCCTTTAGGCGGCCTTCGGAGAAATATGCCGCACAATACTAATGCTAAAATATTAGAGTTACAAGTTACAAGAATACTAAATGAAATTAATTAATTTATTTATGTAACACATTATTTAGTAGATCCAGGTGTACAAAATATCAAACAAAGTTCAATTTTGATATCAGATCCAAATGATTTTTTCATTTTTCTTTCTCTCATCGATTAGTGAATTCAAGTAGCGTTAAATAGAACTCGTTGGATGTTGTTGATGTATTCTCTCTTATGGTGATTACTTCGTCGTTCCTCGTTCCTTTCTGTGTCTCAGTTTCATTCTAGACTATGTTATGCTCATTTTCCTGCGAGTACAACCTAAGGCGGAATTATAAATAGTGTAGTTTTTTTTTAATGCGTAAGTGCGTGTTCTTTGTGTTATTTTAGCCGTACATTTTCTAACATACGCCACATGTCAGTCACAGATTTTTGTTGCACCTTTGGATACTTAATATTATTTTAGAATGTTACATAAAATCGATTCGCTTTTGCACTTGTTAAACTTTATAATAATTCTTCTTACTTTTTCTCCTACTTGAGAAGTATAAAAGATAACTGAATCTATCTTAGCCTCAAGTTAATCAGCGCTGCAAATTTTCTCATCTTCAGATGTTAGTATCTTGTTTATTTCCCGTTTTACAGCATGCGAGTATCCAGATAAAACGTATAGTTTTGTATTTCAATATACAGAAGTTTGTTTGAAATTAGATCCTCGAGAAATAATACTTC